CTCCTATGCTCGCGTGTTGCGTTCTACCTCTCGTCGTCCTTCCCGTCTTCCTCAGTCTCACAACCGTTTCCAGGCCTTAAACCCGGCCACACCCATCACCGCCTCCCCTATTCCTTTGCCTCCTGTCCCAGATGGTCTCCCTCCCGGTTCTCCATCTGGGATTTTCCCCCCTTCCTACCCAGTCCGCCATGTCTCCTGTGTCTTCTTCTCCATCTCCCCCCACTCTTTCTTCCCTCCCCTCCCCTCTGTCTCTTGACCCGCCACACTACCTGTCGGTCCAGGCTGATATCCATCATCCTCCCAGCAACCTTCGTGTTGTTCGCTCTCGTTCCTCTTCTCCTGCTGAGACCATTGAGTCTGTCGCCCGGTATGTTATTACTGGAACGCCTGTCTCTTTGAGTCAGAAACGTAAGCCTGGCTTCTCTCCTTCTTTCTCTCTGGCGGCTAAGAAGGTTTCGCTTTCTTCCTCACCCCCTCCCTTCTGACTCTGTCACTACATCCCCTCCCATTTCCGTAGTCGAACCCCCTGTCTCTGATATGGAGGTTTCTTCTGCCCCCGATTCCCTCTCTGTTGCTGCCCTTCCTGAGGTGCACTCCCTGCTTTCTGCCCCCCCTCCTCCAACTGTCCTTGCCTGCCCCTCTCAGTTGTCCCCTCCTCCTCCAGACCCCGTCAGTCCGCCTCTGGTCTATTCTCTCGCTCCCTTCCCTCTCTCCTTACTAAGGTTACCCATGCCCCCTAACCCTGATTTTGCCGACCCTGCTCCTGATCCAGACCCTGAACCTGACCCTGCTCCTGACCCTGCTCCTGACCCTGATCCTGAGATTCTTTAATACACTGTGTTCCTCTTTACCTTTCTTTCTTTCTTGTTCTCTGTTACTGTCCCTTCTGTTTGATAATGTCTATTCTTCAGTGGAATATTCGTGGATTTTATGCCAACTTCCATGAACTCCAACTTCTCATTACACAGTTTATGCCACTTTGTGTTTGTCTCCAGGAACCAATGCTTGGTGCTCGTCCTGGTCACTTTTGTGGCTACTCCTTTCTTTCTCCCCCCCTCCCCAGCTCTTGCTGGGGCCCATAACTCTACTGCTCTCTTAATTCGTTCTGATATTCCCTTTGTCCCCTACTTCTTCAGTCCCCTATCCATTGTTCTGGTGACCGTGTTTTTGTGGGTAAATGGTATACAGTTTGTTCCATTTATCTCCCTCCAAATGTCCCTCTTTCCCTTCCTGATCTTAAGCACCTCCTGGACTCCTTGCCAGAGCCGGTGCTCCTTTTGGGTTATTTCAACTGTCGACATTCCCTCCGAGGTGATGATCTGACAAACACCCGAGGCCGTCTTCTCGAACCGTTTGTCCTCGCTTCTTCTCTATCTCTTCTGAATTCTGGTGAGCCCACTCATGTAGACTCTCGGACTCGCACCCTTTTCTGTCTTGATCTTTCTCTCTGCTCGTAGTCCCTCTACTTAGATTTCGAGTGGCAGGTTCTTGATGACCTCCACAATAGTGATCATTTCCCCATCCTCGTTTCCGTTTTCTCTTTCCACCCTCCCCTTTCCTTCCCTCGGTGGCAGTTTGCCAAGGCTGACTGGTGCCTATTCACACTCCGTGCTACTCTCTCTGACCTCTCATCTCTGCCTCTTCCTCACGCCCTCCTCCTTTTTTATGACACTGTCTTCAACGCTGCCCTCAGCTCTCTCCCTCGCTCTTCCTCCCGGGGCACATGGAAGTGTGTTCCCTAGTGGAATGCGGACTGTGCTCGGGCTGTCCGTTGTAAGCGTGCAGGCTGGAGAAAACACAGCCGCCGGCAGACGGCTGTTTCTTTTATTCTGTTTCGGAAGGCAAGTGCGGTGGCCCATAGGACCATCCATACTGCTAAACGTGAGAGTTGGAAATCTTATGTTTCCACCATTACGTTCGATATTCCTCTACCGCAGATCTGGAAGAAGATCCGCAAGATTACGGGCAAGTTCGTTACAGATGTCTCGCCGGTTCTCCACCTCCGTGCGACTCTTGTGGCGGATCCAGTGCAGGTCACGGCCGAACTGGGTTCCCACTTTTCTTCTGTTAGCTCTGGTTCTCATCTTGCTCAATCCTTCCTTCTCCGTAAGCCTGTTCTTGAATCTTCTCCTTTAGATTTCCACACTTATCTCCGCCTTCCCTATAACGATCCTTTCTCTCTTTCTGAACTTCAGTCTGCCCTGGCCCTCTGCGGATCTATGGCAGCGGGCTCAGATGACGTTCATTATGAGATGCTTTGCCATCTCCCTCAGTGCACGTTTCAGTATTTACTGAATCTGTATAACCAGGCCTGGGAGTCGTCGTCCGTCCTTGAGGACTGGCTCGATGCCGTTGTACTCCCTATTCGGAAACCAGGATCTCTCGGTACGTCCCCTAAGGACTTCAGCCCTATTGCTCTCACGAGTTGTGTTTGCAAGCTGTTTGAGCGTATGGTAAATGTCCGTCTGATGTGGTTCTTATAACAGTATCACCACATCTCTCCTTCTCAATTTGGTTTTCGCAAGTGCCGCAGCACGACTGTCCTGGTGAACTTGGTCTATATATTCGTACTGCCTTTGCTGCGAAGACCTCCGTTGTTGCTGTCCTTTTTGACCTGGAAAAGGCTTATGACACGACTTGGAGATACCATATTCTGTCCCAACTTCGTTCTTTTGGCTTTCGTGGTACTCTCCCTCTCTTCCTTCAAAGCTTTCTCTCTCGACGTATCTTTCGAGTCAGGCTTGGTGCCACACTCTCCGCCTCTTGAAGGTGTGCCCCAAGGTAGTGTTCTAAGTACTACTCTTTTTCTGGTTGCCCTCAATGGTCTCCTTTCCTCCCTTCCTTCTGGCATCTTCTCCGCTCTTTATGTTGATGATCTTACTCTTTGCTATCGAGGTGATGATTCGCCTCTCCTTCAACGGTGGCTTCAACTTGCGATTGATGCCGTGTCATCTTGGGCCTCCATTCATGGCTTCAAGTTCTCTACTTCTGAGGCTTGTGTCATGACTTTTACTCAGAAGCGGGTCGTTCTTCGTCCCTCTTTGTCACTATATAGTCATCCCCTTGAGTACAAAGATTCTGCGAAGCTTTTGGGGTTATTCTTTGACACTCGTTTGTCTTGGTCGCCCCATGTCTCTTACCTCCGTGTGGAATGCTCTAAGGCCCTTAACCTACTTAATGGGGTTTTGTCCCATACTTCTTGGGGAGCGGATAGGCGCACGCTCCTCTATTTGCATTCCTCTCTCGTCCTATCTAAGCTCGATTATGGTTGCCCTGTATACTCATCTGCTTCTCCTTCTACTCTGCGCCGTCTTGATCCTTTGCACCATACTGGGTTGCGCCTCAGCTCTGGTGCTTTTCGTTCCACTCCTACCCTCAGTTTGTACGCTGACACTGGTTTTCTGTCTCTCCAGGATCGCTGTGATCGCTACAGTCTTCGCTATCTAGCGCGATCCTTACAGCATCCTCACTCTCGCCTCTATTGTGCTTTGAATTTTACCCCTCCTGTAGTTCCTGTTCCTCTTCACCACCTTCCTCTTTCTGTCCGTTTGTCTTGCTTACAAGATTCTCTTTCGGTTCGTCTTACTAATGTTTCTCTTCGTATTGTTCCCTCCTTGCCCCCGTGGAGGGTCCCCCTACCCAAATTTTGTACTTCTCTAACTCGCATCACTAAAGCTTTTACCCCTCCTACATTTCTGAAATGCCTCTTCCTTGAGCACTTTTCTTCTCACTCCCACTCCGTTCCCATCTTCACCGACGGGTCAAAGTCTGCTGACGGTGTGGGCTACTTTGTTTTTTCCTGACCACACTTATATGTGTCGCCTTCCTCCGGAGGCGGAGGCGGATCTTCACAGCAGAACTCTATGCTCTTCGTCTCCTGCTTTCCCGGGGGCAGTCCTCCTTCGTGGTAGTAGTTGACTCTCGTAGTGTCCTCATGGCTTTAGGGTCCTTTAATCCAGTCCACCCTGTGGTCATAGAGATTTAACATTGGCTGTTTCTTATCTCCCGTAAATTTAAGTCAGTTGCGTTTTGCTGGGTTCCCAGCCATGTTGGTGTCTCTTTAAATGAGCGTACGGATACTGCCACTAAGGACGCTATCCGCACTTGTCCCATCTCCCATAAAGGTGTTCCTTATTCCGTCTTTTACCCAGTTATTCATGCCTCCATCCTTGCCCGTTGGCAGCGTTGTTGGTCTTCTGTTTTTGGTAACAAACTGTGTACTCTTAAGAGTCATGTGTCTCAGTGGCCTTCCTCCTGCCACAGTAACCGACGGTGGGAACTGGCTCTGGCTAGGTTACGTATTGGCCATACCCGTTTAACTCACGGTCACTTAATGGAGCGCCGCCCTGCTCCTTATTGTCCAAATTGCATAGTACCTCTTACGGTCGTACATATCCTTGTTGAATGTCCTGACTTCCAGGACGAGCATATGGCTAACTGCAGTGACCTGGAGGTAAGGCGGACGGCAGCGACCTGTAGGTAGGGCGAACTGCAGCGACCTGGAGGTAGGGCGGACGGCGGCGACCTGTAGGTAGGGCGAACTGCAGCGAACCTGGAGGTAGAGTGGACAGTGACCTGGAGGTAGGGCTAATTGCAGTGACCTGGAGGTAGGGCTAACTGCAGTGACCTGGAGGTAGGGCTAACTGCAGTGACCTGGAGGTAGGGCTAACTGCAGTGACCTGGAGGTAGGGCTAACTGCAGTGACCTGGAGGTAGGGCTAACTGCAGTGACCTGGAGGTAGGGCTAACTGCAGTGACCTGGAGGTAGGGCTAACTGCAGTGACCTGGAGGTAGGGCTAACTGCAGTGACCTGGAGGTAGGGCTAACTGCAGTGACCTGGAGGTAGGGCTAACTGCAGTGACCTGGAGGTAGGGCTAACTGCAGTGACCTGGAGATAGGGCTAACTGCAGCGACCTGGAGGTAGAGTGGACAGTGACCTGGAGGTAGGGCTAATTGCAGTGACCTGGAGGTAGGGCTAACTGCAGTGACCTGGAGGTAGGGCTAACTGCAGTGACCTGGAGGTAGGGCTAACTGCAGTGACCTGGAGATAGGGCTAACTGCAGTGACCTGGAGGTAGGGCTGAATGCAGTGAACTGGTGGTAGGGCGGACGGCAGCGACCTGGAGATAGGGCGGACGGTAACGACCTGGAGGAAGGGCGGACAGTGACCTGGAGGTAGGGCGGACTGCAGCGACCCGGAGGTAGGGCGGACTGCAGCGACCCGGAGGTAGGGCAGACGGCGGTCACCTGGAGGTAGTGCGGACGGCGGCGACCTGGAGGTAGGGCGGACGGCGGCGACCTGGAGGTAGGGTGGACGGCAGCGACCTGGAGGTAGTGCAGACGGCGGTGACCTGGAGGTACGGCGGACGGCAGCGACCTGGAGGTACGGCGGACGGCAGCGACCTGGAGGAAGGGCGGACAGTGACCTGGAGGTAGGGCGGACTGCAGCGACCTGGAGGTAGGGCGAACGGCAGCGACCTGGAGGTAGGGCGGACGGCGGCGACCTGGAGGTAAGGCAGACGGCGGCGACCTGGAGGTAGGGCGGACGGCAGCGACCTGGAGGTAGGGCGGACGGCAGCGACCTGGAGGTAGGGCGGACGGCAGCGACCTGGAGGTAGGGCAGACGGCAGCGACCTGGAGGTAAGGCGGACGGCAACGACCTGGAGGTAGGGCGGACGGCAGCGACCTGGAGGTAGGGCGGACGGCAGCGACCTGGAGGTAGGGCGGACGGCAGCGACCTGGAGGTAGGGCGGACGGCAGCGACCTGGAGGTAGGGCGGACGGCAGCGACCTGGAGGTAGGGCGGACGGCAGCGACCTGGAGGTATGGCGGACGGCAGCGACTTGGAGGTAGGGCGGACGGCAGCGACTTGGAGGTAGGGCGGACGGCAGCGACTTGGAGGTAGGGCGGACGGCAGCGACCTTGAGGTAGGGCGGACGGCGGCGACCTGGAGGTAGGGCGGACGGCGGCGACTTGGAGATAGGGTGGACGGCAAGGACATATGATAGCACAAGGCCGATAAGATAAGAAACCATAAACAGATAGCGGAGGGCAGGGTGAAGGATTGGAGAGCCTGGTGTAGCATTGGATGACAGGGTGAAGGGTTGGAAGGCAGGGGTGAAGGGTTGGAGGATAGTAACCTGGTGACTGCACAGTTAGTTTCCTCAGGTCGTTGGTGCTGGTAAACACATCACTACAGAACTATCATCTAACACTTTAGACGCTGACAAGTGAGTGCTGGGACGGATTGGCTTGTTACGGACACGACGGGCATGCCTACTGGATATATTCATTCATGCTGCCTGACACCAGAATATTTCTTACTTAAATACCAGAACAAATTCTCCACCTACGTTAAATCTCGCAACCTCAGAAGGCATCTTCTGTGAGAACTACCAAGAATTTTACCCGATTCGAAAAGGCAACTTACAAGAGAACTTAAAGCTGTACTTTTAAGATTTAAGCCTCACGATGGCTAATTTTGATGCGGCGATATTCTTTGCATTGCTTGTTGTTTCTCCATTAAGATATCATATTCACTAAAGTTTTTGGCTCGATGTACAGTCATTATTATAATTGCACTCAATGCATACATAAATACCCAAATCTGAATGGTTATTGAAAAAAAAAATATTCAACGTAAAGTTCCCACAGATGTTTTAATAATATATTCAAATCCTAATAAGGAAGTTGTTAGAATCTTTGAATTTATTTAGTCAAGTAACATAAAATTGCTAGTCCTTCTATTTTTTATTCAATTTACATGAAACTTATACCTTATATGGAAAGTTTACGTCTCTACAATCTCTAGTAAAAATTATATTCCTAAGCTCATTTATTGATTTTATTAATACGTGCAAACATGAAATATTGGCATAAATTTTTGGGGAACTTTGACTATTTGTATTAGTAAAACTTAATATATTTTGGATAATCCCCTATATACAAATCCTCTATTGTATGGTAATGTGATAGATGAGTGTCATAGAAATGATTTCATTTGAAACTTGTGGTTGTACTGAATTATTGAAAATGTGAAAAATTCGTTGAATTTTTTTCTCCCTTTCTTTTTAGGGTGAGACTGAAACTTGGATCAGTTGCAGCCCTTTTCATATAAAATTAGTAAAAATAGTTTGGTTGACATTGAACAACGAATAATAGTCTTCAGTTAATTTCAATCTCATGCAAACTTCAAACAAATAAAGCCCCAAGAAAACTGAACTATGTTTAGTCCTGATGAAGTTAAACAAAGTATCTTATCTTGAAGTTATCTTGAGATGATTTCGAGGCTTAACGTCCCCGCGACCCGGTCCTCGACCAGGCCTCCTTTTTCTTACACACCCCCAAGAAGCAACCCGTAGTAGCTGTCTTAACTCCCAGGTACTTATTTACTGCTAGGTAACCAATTTACAGCAAGATAACAGGGGGCATGAGGGTGAAAGAAACTTTTTGCCCATTTGTCTGCGCCTTCACCGGGAATCGAACCTGTAACCTCAGGACTACGAATCCGAAGCGCTGTCCACTCAGCTGTTAGGCCTCCTGACAGAAGTAAGCCAAATTTTAAACAAATGGTTAAACACAAGGTTGAGCATACATTGTACCTAAAGAGGGGGGTTTAGTGGGTGTATGGGATCACTTCTGGGTCTTTGGAGGGCGGGCTGGTTTATGACTAAAGCGGTTTACACACTACTCTCAACTGATTTGGATCGAACACTTTCGGAACAGGTGCTTCACTGACGAATTTTGTTCAAACTACACCGCTGTAAATGCTTCACTCACGTACAAAAAATACAAATAATCGCCAACAGAACCTAAATACTTAACCTAATTTAACCTATGCCTATATATGCACAATGTGCTAATATATTAAATGTTAATTTATATTTGAAAAATTTCCCGTTTTAAATGAACAGCATGTACAAATTTATGAATGCGTCTTTGGGGTTGACCGCTGGCTGTAATGGACTTGAGTCGAGGATGGGTCGAGTTGCGAGTTTTTGTAAAACCGTTTTTCATTCATTAACAACGGGTTTTGGCGGTTGCATGGAATAGACTTATGGCCGTTGTTTTTGGGCTGGGCTGTTTTTGGGCTGGGCATGGGCTGCATTGGTTTGTTTTTTTCTGTAAACCGAACTCCTGGCTTCTTTCGCGGAACCTAAACGTAAACAAATATGGCACCACTTCCACCTGTGTGTATGCTAACTGACTGAATCCATGGGAGGTTTTTGTGCTTATTAAGGATTATATTGGGGGAATCCAGACAGACAGAAAGTGTTTCTGGTGATGTTTCTGGGATGGATAAGTAACCTTGGTGCCCGCAAATGGCTGCTACATGAAGAAATGATGGCAAAATGGAAGGTATGTGATCCTACTTTGAACACTCTTTCTATCCTGTGCTTATCTGGTCTCTCTAGAATCGCATGTGCCGAAGGAGGCCCTGATACACTTCCACTGGAAGATATTTTTTTTATTCTTCTTTTGCCTCGTTTGTATATCTTTCAAGAGCTTTACGTGTGCTCTCTGAGGAGCGCCGTCTTTATAGTGAAAATTTAAATTAAAGATTATTCCCCCTTCCCCCCAAGGAGGAAGTTTTATTATATTGCTTTAAATATTGTCGACACTATTGCGCAGCTGTCTTCTGTAAGTAGACGCGTTGTGTTGGTGTGGAGAGATGAAATGGGTCATGATTCTGTAGGTCACACTGACTCTGGATGAATGAGTTTTTCAATGGTGTTCTTTCATCTCTCCATGTGTGAAAAATCACATGCCTCCTCACCCAAAAGGGTCGTAACTGGGGTTAATGATCTGCCATACACTAAGTGAGCAAGGCTGATGTAGTGTAATTTTAATTAATTTAAACATGGAAAGATGCTAGTAAACTATTGAGGTTTTTCTTTATTTAACTGACCTCTTTTTCTGGCCCGTTGTCGTCGTGAGGGGGCTTGGTGGGCGGCTGCCAGTGTGTGATGCTCCATGGGGCAGTCCTCTGTCCTTTTGAAGCCTTATGCTCCTATTGCTGTGTTCACCAATTTTGCCAGATTTCTATTCCTTGTTTCATTTTTCTCCCCCCCCCCCCCTCTTCTCCTCCTTTCTAATCGTCATTTCCCGCCTACCTTTTGCCAGTCTTGATTATTCTTTCGGACTTCTGTTTCGACGCCCGGGAGGCATACTCTCACACCCGTAGAATTGTGGTACCCAATGTCGCGAGCGAGGGGACGCTTAAACACTTTAAACGCTTAGTGCACGCCTGGGAGTAAACACTACCGGGCGCGGGCCGCTCGGGGCACGGCGCAAACACACGCCGACCCTCTCTTAGACTTTGTAATAAGTGCTGGAAGTTCGGGCACGGTGCCGTCAAATGCTTATGTCTTGTTTCTCTATGCCCCATGTGTGGGGACGAAGATCACAATTAAGTCCGAGTGCACTTCTCTCCAGGCTCGCTACCTCAATTGCAGTGAGACCCACCCTACCTTCTTCCGCTCGTGTATACAATACAAACTTGAGGCAGCTGTCCTGAACTTGAAACACCGGGATTGTCTCCCTTTTCTTGAAGCTAGACGCCAAGTTCGCCATCTCATCCTATCTCATCCCGCGTCGTACATACACGGTGGGTTTGCTTATGCGGGTTCTGCCCCTGCGTCGTAAATAGCCGTGCGATGTAAAAAAAGCAACATAAAATCCAATTCTTATTCGATCGACTTGGGGTTAGTATGAAAATGTTTGCCATTAAATTTTCGTTTTCTCTAATAGGCACATGGCCTATTTGAAAAAACGGCATTGTATTGTAACTTAGTGGAGAGACTATTGAGTTGGTGACACAACGAGAGTAATCGCCCACTTCACACACTCTTGTGTGGGCCGCGATCATGATTCTACATTTATATGCATATGTTTGTGTAGAGAATTTTATTGCGAGTTCAGTGATATAAAATTTAACGCTGCAGGACAAATGTGGAGCTGACAACAAATAAAAGAGTATGAATATTTTGTTGCTGTTTGGGCGTCACGGCGAGTGATCTACGTTATAATTTATTTGGTGGTGGAATAGCTAATGCTTTGGTTACATTTTATACATATGATCTTGTAGAGAATTTTATTGCCAACACATTGATACCAAAATGAAATACGTAGCTCGAGAATTTGTGTCAGGAGAGTGAAAAGATTACACACTGTTTGGTGTTTACGCTCAAGAGCCCAAAACGCCGCGTGCACATTCTTAACCCTTAAAATGCGCAAAACGTCCCATGTGACATTGAAGGTGGTATAATTCGAAAAATATTCGAATTATGTTAAAATTACTAAAAAATGTTAAAAAAAATCTCTGACTTTTGGCTTCAGCTTCATGAAACTTTCATCAAAATATTTTCAGAAATTGATTTTAGACGAATATTAAAACAAAAAGTTTTGTTGATAAAGAGAACAGCTCCTATTAACTGGAACTGATGGATAATGCAATAATAAAGAGATGCAAGCAACTGTCCGATGCACAAAGAAGAATAGTAGTAGTAAGAAGTGTCCACAAAGTGGATATACAGCTGTGCCTTTATAGCATTGGTGAGTAATACATAATAACACAAATAATGAGTAATTATGTTATGCTCTATTTTGTTATATATCATATTAATGATATATAATGTTATCAGTTACTTTCAACAATATAATGAGTAATGAGTAATTATGTTATGCTCTATTTTGTTATATATCATATTAATGATATATAATGTTATCAGTTACTTTCAACAATGTCCAAAAAATATTTTTGCTTAGGATTTTTTTTTGTAGGTGATTATGTTTCTTAATTTGTTTATTATTTGAATTTGTTGTAACCTTTACATCCTGGAGAATGCATACTCGTCCCCTAACTATGTGAAGTCAAAATTAAATTGGTCAACAAATATATCAGTTACAACTCTCAGAACTTGGGACTTAGAATTTTTTTTTTGGCCGATTTTCTCGCAGATTTCAAACTCTATTTTCCTAGTTTTTTTAGGTTGTTTTCATGATTAGAAACCAGATTAAGGCTTTTTAACTTATA